CACACACACACACACACACACACACACACACACACACACACACATTAAAGTGAAACCTCAGAGCTTTAGAAGTGGAGTTCCTTGGAAGGTTTATGAGCAATAAGTATCTTACCTGTTGTAGATGGCCGTTTGAACAGCCTCAGTTTGCAGAAATAACATTTATTTCTAAGACTGAAGAGCTAAAAGCTAATTGTAGTGAGGTAAAGACTAAAATGGATCACTGCCATCCTAAAGCAAACTAAAGCAAATAYAATATGTACACATAGCAGCTAGCTTTAGCGCTTCCTGTGCAATCTGCGGCATTTCCAGCAGGAATTTTGCAATGTTTCTGTGTCATGTGAAAATGATGGTCATGCAAAAATGTATAAAATAGAKGTTACATGAACTGTAATAATATTTTTACAAATAAACTGATCTAAAATGACATCAATGCGCTTTAGATTAGCTGTTAGCTTCTGAGTCCAGCTCAAATTAAACTCAGTTTCTCCAAAGCTGAACATGTAATMCATTAATTGTTCATAATGTTTCCTCAGAGCTCTTCTTCCAAAGCTCCGAACAATCCCCTCAACCTGAATTCAGTCCTGACCTCATTGTTAGCCTCAGCTCTGATGTTTTTAGCCTGATCTGTTCAATAATCTGAGTGCACACACTCAACTGAGCCATTTTTAAATGTACCTATAGGCCCAATAAAACCACAAGTTATTTTTTTWAAWWWTTTTRAGTGTGTGTGTGAAACTTGCCTAACTGTKTAAAGAGCTAAAAAGTTAAACAGTGTTATTGTAGAGCCATGTGGTCCCACGGGCCTGCCGTTCACAAACACACACAGTATGTGGTGCAGTGTGGYGGCAGTAATGTGAGACTGTCAGAGCCAGCGTGGAGTCACATTAGCGAGTGTTCAGTGTGTAGTGTGGCTCCTTGGCTCCTCACACCCCACCACACATGAACATACACTCTCCACAAAAAAAAAAAATCTAAATCAGTCTAAAAATCGAACTGATTACCTGAGGCAACAGCAGCCAAAAACTTTCTTTGTCTTAACTCTTCCTGCCACTTTTTTCTGTCTCTCATAAAC